TGACATTTTTTAATCCATGCGGGACGTGAGAGGTGGTCACCCCTTCTGGCAAGCATTTCTAGCAATTCAACAAAATCCTACTATATTTGCTCATCTAAGAACCTAATTTTTCCCCTATAACCGTCGACCTAATCTTTGAACACTCTCATTCCCTTATACTGTGAAAAGTCCTACCTGTCCTCAACCCTTAGCCACCTACACAAACTGGGTTATATCCCTCTAATTGGGTAATATCATTCGAGTAAACAACATTAAGGAGGATTGGGGTAAGGATTTGTTGGACGTCATAACTAGAAGAGGCTATAGGGAAGTAAGGAATAGACTCTTCATGTTGGTTTCCCCAAGAATGGACTATAGACTTGTCCGACCTCATTACCACATCAAAGAAGAATAGAAGAAAATACGACTCAAAAGTAAAGAGAAGTACCAGGAAGAAAAGATCTGACAAACAACCTTACAGACACAAAAACTCTTAACAAAATGTCAAGCACTCTTGGAGATTTGAAACACAAATTGCGAGAAAACGAAGTGGAAAAAATGACAAAAAAAAGATTATTAAGTTGAGAAAGAATGTTAATTGCCATTAGATTAGGAAATGGAGGGCTTTGATCAAAACCATCAAAACTTCATGAAACTTCGAGGAGAAGCTTGGGGTATTTTATGAATCATCTATCAAGAGACAAATGTCACGATTCGGCTTACATAAAGTTAACTATTATCTATTTACATAAATTATGGAAAAAAAAAATCAATATTTGAGAAACAAGGGACTTCAAGATCAGCCCTTTGCACAAGTACAAGGGCAGAACTTGGGGTTAACTTTTGGTATCTGACCTTAAAAATTTGCTTAACAAGAAATCAAGAGATCCCAGCCAATGCATAGATAGATTGGAATACACCCAGTGGAACAATAGCTCGAGCATTTACTACCATCACTTGAGGGAATATCATGATTAATAGTTCATTTTTGTCTGCCCCACCTCATTACCATCTACTCTCAACATGACATGCGGAAAATATGACGTCAGCACCTATTCAACAACCAATTACAAGCAACAAATAATTACCCAAATTCACAGGTCATCATTACATAATGTCATAGTTGAGACATAGTCATCATGATGGTGTGCTTGACCGACCTCATCAACCAAGGAAGGATAAAAAATTTCAGAAGTTCGCACACATTTTTAGGTTGGTACTGTTGCTTAAAAGACCTTGGACGAGGAAGTGGCTTAGATTTTCATCCTATAAATAGGTGAAATCGTCCCCTCCTAAAAGAAAGCTAAGACACCCATAAAAAACTCTCATATAACAATTCCAAGAGCAATTATATTGTACTTTGAATCAATTCCAAAGATAATCAATATATATTTCTCTTTAGGTTGATATAATTTTGGCGAATCATTTTTAGTCATCAATAGAATATATATGAAGGAAAGATGTAGAATAATATAACTTATACTAAAATTAGACAGAAATAGTTCATATTAGAAAATTTAAATATAATAAAACTTCATATTGCACAATAAAAGGGCTAATATATATAAAGATTATAATAATTATAATGTAGATTGAAAATGTAGACAGAATTGTAGTGTGGTAGAAAATGAAATGATGAGGAGCGGGGGGGCATATATAGGGGAAACAATTCATTTAAAAATATTTTTTAAAAAATCATATGATCGTTGGCCCAAACGTTACCAATGGTCATTTTTAAATTTTAAAATGACTATTTTGATAGCCCAAAGGTCATTACATTTAAAAATCTTTCAGTCTTTAATACGAAGCGTCTCATAGGTTTTGCATGCAAGGGAGCTCGACTCGTAGCTCATCTAATTACAAACCAAGCGGTTCATGAGCTGAGTTCGAACAAGTTGAGCTCACTAATGAATTGGTCTGTTTACTACCCCTAAATCTTATTGTTAGAATTCTTTCAAAATTCTTAAAGTCTTAGTGTGTAAAAATAAAATTAGGATTTCAACCGGACACACTCAATGATAAAATCGGCCATTACTGGTGTAATTAGCACATCCTTCTTTAATAAGGTAAAAAGGCAACTTTAAACTATTATCTTGACTCCATTAATTTGTGTTTTCTTTATTAGCAAGAATAAACAATACTTCATCTATCCATAAAAATAGACTTTTTTCACACAAATTAAGAAAATATAATTAATATAGTTAAAATATAAATTTTACTTATTTTTCCTAATACACTCTTACATTAAATAACGGTGTTTGAGTTTCATTTTTTATTACCAAAAATATATTTTGGAATAGTGATTTGAGGGAGAATATATGATTAAAAAATAAGAAAAAAAATTTCGTTTACATCTAATATTATTTTATTGAATACCTGTGTGATTAAAAATAAGAAAGAAAAATATATTTTAAAAATAATAACAACAAAACAAAGGCAAAATATATTGATAAAAATATACATTAAATAGGGACATATTAAACAATTAAGGGCACAAGGCCCCGTAATCTTTCTTATCCCGCTATGTTACGGGGGAAGGGGAGATCTATCCATTAATTTGATATTATTGGTAACAAAGAACAATTCTTGCTAAAAATTTACAAAATTGTCAATTAAAATAATTAAATATATTAAAATATCCTTAATTAAAAATAAAGAATAACACCATTTGTACTGCATTAATTATGTAACATTCACATACTAATTTTCTAACTTTTTTTTAATTCTCCAAATATTTATTTACTATTCCATTCTTATCAAAAAAAATACTTTTTCCTTTCTAATTCATGGATCCCTCCATAAATTAACATTCATCCATGTATTCTCACTACATCATATACATAATTTTTAATTTTCTTTTTTACATCAAATTATATAATTTTTATTATTTATATATATAGATTATATTCTTCTATGATGCTTTCTCGCCTGAAAAAAAATCATCTGCCAAAAATATATATATAATAATAATAAATTCACATTAATTCCTAACAATTGATTAAATTTCAAAATTAAACCCGAGTGAAAATGAATAAGAAATTGATTTTTATCTACAAAATAACATCTAATATAAAATATCATTTTAATTGATCGTAATTATTCTTCTTCATTCACCAAATTTGCAATTAGAATATAGCAAGTAAATTTTATTTATTTATTTATTTATTTTTTACAAAATGTAGCAGGTAAAACGTGAATTTATAATAAAGTGCATCTTATATGATTGAGATAAGCCTACATGAATTTGACAAGACAGGAAAGTTATTAACCAACATAAAAATCAATTGCCAATATAAACATAAAAGAAAATGTGAATTACCATATTAGAATGTTTGGTACATCGCATTACACATATTTCTTTCTTTAATTGTCTTCGACACATAATATTCGACATATACAAACCGTAAAAGTAGTATGGTAAAAAACCGTGTAAATTAATTATACAATTATTGAGATATGTCTTGAAAATGGCAAATATGGTTTCAATGCTTTTATATTATCTCCGTCTAGCAAGTTGGATTTTAACATTTAAATAGAAACAAATGAGACTTCAAGTTATTATAGAAGCCCAATCACTTTTTAAGTACAAAAATTATTTAAATTTTGATTAAAATTGTTACGTAACCCTAACAAGTCTAATTTTACGAAGCTAAATTCTTTACCACCGATTTAGAAAAGTACTTTGGGTTTTCATGATTAATGACTCATTGTGTATCTAAAATATGGTATACCGAAAGTATAGTTAGAAAGACTTTCAATAGCAACATCCAGAATGCCTATACGAACTCAATTCATTATTTCAAGACCTCCGTCAAGCTCGAGAAAACCTTTGCAAGCCTCTGATACCTTTTGGGAGCCATACGTCCCATAGAAACTGAGGACTACTTGCTCCTTTTTAAAGGTTAAAAATCAAATTGCTACTTGAACAGTAGATTCATACCCAGTGATACAGTTTTCTCCCTAATAAATGGAGAATCCTCAGATAATCAGAATACAATTTTCACACACACACACACATTATGTGAATTGAAAAGAATCAACAAAAATAAATAAATTAAGAAATGGCACCTCAATATTTTCATCTTTGAAGGTCTATATTCAGACCAATGAAGACATCTTTTAGTGTGGGAAGAAAAGTTAAAATAGACTTGGGAAAAGACGATCCGCCCACCATTTAGTAGAAGATTAACAAAACATTTGTTTATCATTCGAGATCAACATAGTTGAAATTAGTGTCTCATTTGGTTACACCACGATTTTGAAGAATAAAAAGAAACTAAAATCAACTATTATCTCCCATGACCGTTCAATATTGCGCTCCAAACGTACTTACTCCGCATTTCCGTTCTAGAAAAGCTTGTGGATCCCACATCTAGAAGATGAAGAACTTTCCGTTTGCCATCAACGGTCATCTCAATTTGTACCTAATACAATTCAACAATGGAACAGGAAAATGCAAATAGTAGGCCATGCCCCAGCTGGAAGAAGCAGGTTAAGATTTGACATCATTGATCACTCTACAGACTACAAAATTTGCAGATGAATCTACTTATAAGCAGCTTTTCTGAAAAATGGCAAACTTAACTCAAAATGAATACAGAGAACATAAATGGTAGATTATAGTCAAAAAAATATAAGCACATTTCCTCACATATAATCAAAACAAAGACGAAACAGCCCCCCGGGGCACATCCAAGTTGGCAAAGGACGGGCATTGCGGGGCTCGCAACCCCAGCGTGGGGAGTTCGATTCTTGGTTGAAGCAGCTAAATTATGTAATAACCATTCTTGATTGGAGCAGCTTGGTGATGTAATAATCATGGAGGAAGGCTCCCTTGGGGCCAGGAGTATAAAGGATACACGGACCCTGATCAACTTGGGCATATACCGCGATTTACCTCCACTAGTCACTGAGGGGCCGGGGGCTAGGGGTCCAGGATTTAGTCCGGCGAAGCTGGGACACCTGGGTTATCCCAAAAAAAAAAAAAAAAAAAAAAAAAAAAAAACAAAGACGAAACAAAATGAAAAATTGCTGCATGAATAAAAAATTTAATTAAAGAGGTGCAATTTTTTCATTGGTACCCGAGAGACGACGAAAAACTGGCATTGGCAACAGATATCGAAACATAAGAAAATAGCTCAGCCATTAATGTTCCTCTGGACCCGTACAATTTCATCAACATGACCCTAAATACGCAGCATATTTAACTTACAAGGCTATAGTCTCAAAATACAGACACCCACTACAACAGAAGAGAGGCCGTGCTATCATATACGCCAACTGATACAGTACATGCTATCCGCACGTACAGCAATGCCAAATCTCACAAAGCACAGTAAGTAGCCTTCATGGTGAATAAAACAGCATAAATTTATATCTATGCCTCAACAGCAGTAACTTCATCGGTACTGTCAGACACACCCACCTCCTCAACGGAGTCTCCACCATTAGCCACTCCATTGGACATTTTTCCTTCTGGTTTCTCATCAATAAGCTTCTCTCTAAGCTTCATCACAAGTTCTTCTTGTACACTTGTATTTTCAGACAGGTATCTTTTGAGAGCATCCTTGCCGTGAAAACTCTGATCATTCATATGATAAAATGAGCCAGCCTTCCTGATCAACTTGTATTTGCATCCCAATTCTATGATCTCCACCACCCTACAAATCCCCTTCCCAAATTCAATCTCAAATTCAACAGTTTTAAATGGAGGAGCATGTTTGCTTTTTACAATCTTCACGAGAACTTGGCTTCCTATGGTCTGTAAAACAAAGGAGATTGCCATAAACTAAACTTCATCCGAAGTGCCATTCTTCCAAGAGAGGATATTAATACACATTTATACTTCCAAGTGAACCTTTTAGGAAAGCATGAAAAATATCAAAGACAATCAACATAAAATAAAGTGATCTTCTGACAAATTATATCCGAACAAACCACCAAACCAAGGTGTAATGGTGAAGGATGCATTTAAAGAAGTCAGGTCTAGTACAGGACGTGTCAATTAATTAATCATATTTCATTCAAGCAAATCACATTCCACAAATCCATAGCGTGCGCAAAAGAGATTCATACCTCTTCTCCCTTCTTAACTAGCCCTATTCTCTTAATATTCAGGCGTACAGAAGCATAAAATTTCAAGGCATTACCACCACAAGTAACTTCAACAGGGCCACCAAATCCTCCAAATGTGGATAATTTTGCTCTCACCTGAAAATAAACGTGGTTTATCAGGGAAGTTTCCGTTTCATAAATTTAAAAAAATTACATTTTTCAAGAGAAATGAAGAAAAGAGCTTTGCTCCTTGGAGGTTTTGTACCTCAAGCTAATTTGTAGTCTAACGAACCTCTTAATTCACATCATAGGCTGGTACTGAGAAGTGCATATATGTATGCACTTGTAGAATTGGACATTATCATCCTCCAAACTAGAGTTGATATCAGAAATTGTTTGGAGGGAAACAGTGAGTAGAAATTAAAAGAGTTTGACTTCTCCATTCTCAGTCTTGACGGAAATTTGGAAGGCGAGGAAAATGCCTGGAAAGTGAAATTCTTCACTTGATTTCCACTTACAGCAACTGAACAATGCCTATTTATTGGTTTAAATAACAGTTAAATAGAAGGTTTTTCCTTCAACAAGGGATGATAGCTCAGTCTTGAACATTTCATCCAACTTATGCTATGTCCTACCAAACATACCCAGCATCTTAATCAGAAAGGAAACCAAGAAAAACCATAATCAGAAGAAAGTGATAAATTTCATCTCAGAGTACCGGCAAAAATAAGGGTAACCAATGATAAATGTTGAAAGCATTTTAGCTCTCTAGATTTGAATAACAGAGATTATTTTGCAATTGGCTTGAATGAGAAAATTATGTAGAAAGGCCTTAGTGGCATCCAAACAACAATCAAGCATAGACTGCTAGCAAGTTTACATAAGTCTAGAAAACAAGGACATATCCATAGAGTTTGTGCACTGACGAATGCCCCCAAATATAAGAATTGCAGACAAAAATGGAAGATGTAGGGTATGGCTGAATTTGTGCACTGAGAAATGCCCCCATATATAATTGCAAACAAAAATGATGTAGGGCATGGCTGAGCATTTTTACTTCTCTTATTTTCGTCCTACAGAACACCCACTTCATAATATAAATTCTCTGGACCATTTCAAATCAAATCCAGATTTATAACTTAGCCCCCGTTTAGGCTCCATTTTAATTTAATGCATTTTTGCTTTCCTCATTTTCAACCAAACATTCTTCAATAAAATAACATCACACGTAAACTCAAATCTTTTCCTTACTTTTTAACCAAATATTCTCCAAATATTACTATTCCAAATACATTTTTTTTTCAAAACTTCATTAAAATGAAGCCCAAACAAGGGCTTAACCTTGTGGGGCTGATAGTGAAACATCAAGTTGGGGTCTATACAAGCAAAAACTTCCGAGGAGTGGTTGAAAGATAGAATTATAAATCAAGAATATTAGGCACCTTATATGACCATTAGCTTGCCCTATTTTCCAAACACTGTTTGGAGTGAGATGAAAAGAAAAGAAAATGAGGAATACCACTTGCTCACCTTCCAAAATGGAGAAGAAAACAAGTCAAAATGTGTATATATTCTTCCAATTGGCCACAGAAACATCTTGTTAAATTTTCTTTTACTTTAATCTAAACTTAACCAGTAAAATAATTAACTCCACTTGGTTCTATTGCATTTCAATTTACTTTTCCCCTGAAATAATGAAATATAAAATGCATATTCTACCTGACTAATAAAAAACGAGAGACAGCCCTAACCCCAAAATGACTTCAAAGATGTTGCTGATACAGAATTATCATCTTTTGTCAAATCAACATAGTGTGTACTTCAAAATGAATGACCATTGGTTTCGAAGGTTCTTGAAGAACATTAGAGATTTTTCAAGGCATCACTGAGCAATGTTTATATATTACATGTCTTACCTTATTCTCTCGTTATGGCTTCCATTGGTTTATACGACATTTCAAGTTCTATTTTGTAGAGTATTGGGGGCAAGAGGAATTTAACTTGGGCCCTGATGAGGTTCCATCCCAAGTACTATCGTGCTTAGCTCTAAAGAAGAATTTTTTTATTAGCTCTGATGGCTTAGATGGCTTTGCTGAGTCGCAAGGGGATAGTGCCTAGGAATTCTGGATTTGCCCCCAAGTGTGTCTTCTTCTGTGGGTATGTTCTTTTGGATTGATTTGGGAGTTTTTTCTGCATATACGGTGTTAGTGTGTAAGCTGCATTAGGCGAGACACATAGCATGGTTATCTTGCATTGGTTTGCACATTTTTCTGGATTACATATCTTATTTTTGTAATTTCATTGAACATACATAAGTTTCACAATTCATTAGTTGTTAGGATTTGCCAGTTTCTACCTGCACGGTGGTTTCACATACCTAGGCAGTTTCTCAGTTGCATTTACCAAATTGCTTTGTTGCTGCATGCTTGTTATCTGGATCGCAGTTGTTTTGTTCCTTTTTTATGTCTAGATCTTGTGGTCCCATCCAGTAATTAGATCTCATCTGCCAGATTGCAATGGATGTAGTACACCTAAGTTCATATATTTGGTAAAGGTTCTACATAACGGGAGTGGTACTCTTTAAGTTTAGAATTTGCAAGTTCTCGATGTGTCCTCCTTTTGTAGTTGTTGAGATAAGGCAGGTATGTCCATCTCCCTTGTTTATGATTTTTGTCAACCAATAGACGATGAAATGAATCTAGTACTCTCAAGTTTACAAATTCAGTAAAGGTCCTATGTAATGGGATAAGTACTCCAAAATTTATAATTTTCACAAATTCTCTATTTCTCCTCCTTTTATAGCAATGAAGATAAGGATGGTATATCCCCTTCCATCATGTACCAATTTTCAATCAATAGACACGGTAAGGGGTCAATGCCAAGCCCCTACCAAGTTTGATGCAGGTACTAGATCAGGATTCTAGTCGTATTAATTTGAAGGTATTCTCAGCAAAATAGCCAAGTACGCATATATGATATACCTAAGAGGATATAAGTAGCTTTGGATGGGTAAATTGATGTTGAACCCTTAATTAAATATTATTGGTAATTTCTATCCAGTAGATAAACATCAACCCCACCCCCACACAACAACAAAAAAAAAAAAAAATCAAAACAAATTCTTCCCCCTCAACTCTGCCATAAAAGGCTCCTAGAACAAGGAAAGATTTTAAACTAAAAAGAGAAGAACTAGACATATGTCAAAAAAGAATAGTAGAAGGGACATAGAAAATTCGATTTGGAGACCAAACTACATACTGAATTTGCAAACACCAACACTAAAATGATGAATGTGATGCAGTTCACCAGGTTCAAAAATATAAAGTATTTTGGGTGCTGCAATAAACAGAGACAGAAATCAAGAGGGCTTGTAAGTGTGCCTAAAGATAACTGACTATGATAAAGGTTTGTGTTTCATGCCTGATTTGTAAAGATTAATATTGTCTGTGATTGAGATAAAGAGTGGCTCAATTTGCGTAATGCCTGGCTCAACAGTCTAGCTTGCATGGCCATGTGCGCATCTCCCATTTCACCATCAAGTTCACCCTTGGGGACCAGGGCAGCTACCTGCCAGCCAATGCAACCGTGCAATAATAACTATATGGCAAGAAAAATGTAATCCATTTACCCAGCCATGACATCGTATGGAGAAACCATAACATCATACTTACACTATCCACAACAACAACATCGATTGAACCACTTCTGATTAGAGTATCCACGAGGCTAAGAGCTTGCTCACCACAATCTGGTTGTGAAATAAGCAAATTTGAAGTATTCACTCCTACAGCTTCAGCTAGGGATGGATCAAGAGCATGCTCAGCATCAATGAAAACACAGTAACCTATGAAAGGGCAACAGGAAACAGAAGTTAATGCATGTGCATGAGATGTGCTATGATCTCAAGCTTGAGAGCAATTGAAAGATATATGGAATTCATGTCATCTATACAGTGTTTTCCGCTGTCGATTATTCCTTTGGTGTTATGTCCTTTACCATAATGATATACAGACTCATTCACACTGACTACCATCTTTGACAGACTACAAGCTACTTTGTTTTATCGAGTCCAGTATCAAGATGTGGGCTAGTTCATCAAGAGAGGCGTAGTATCTGATATATATCGGTGGACTCATAGTATCATACAACCAAAATTGCATATTATGCTTTTGGGATTTAAGTGGACCTCCTCGGGCCACCTACATGTAGGTTGCGTGAGGGTCTCTTCCCACTCATCAGTCGTAAGACTAAAACATTCCTCCATTTGTCAAGAGGGCCAAGAGACTTTGTCATCCTCACTTACCCTCTCTTATCTCAGTTCCATACTTGAATATCCGCATTCTAAATACCAAATTAGGAGCCCCTGAATTGTATTCACACCTGGATGAAGTTTTGATTTTCCATTGGAGAAAGAAAGAACTAGTTGTTACTTGCTACAGCTCCTTCTTAAAGGACAATTTAGAGCTAGAACAGGAAAGATAATGCAATTTTTGGGTAAAGAAAAATTTTGAAATGAGACCGCACTCCCTAAATAAACTTTAGTGCTTTCACCCCTATTTGAGTTAAGATGTGATCAATTCCAAGGCCTAGCTACAGATAGAAATCTGGCTTTAGGACTCTTGCCACAATTTCCATGCCTCTTTCCACTTTCATAATGAAACTGCTAAGGAATAGAGATTGACGAGATGCCCATCTAGGTGAGTATATTGAATGGAACTGATTCTTTTAATCCATAGAGGCTCACATAGGGATTACTCGTGCACGAATTTCAAGTTCACCGTGATTAGTAAGTTTTAATGAGAACAGAATAAAGATAGAATCAATATAATCATTGTAAAAAGAAAATATTTTTTATGTGAAAGTGAAATGTAATTAGAAAGCTCCAAGGGCACCATATTCTAGGAGCCCAAACTATGTGATTGAATAAATCCTACAATGCCATACAGAATTGAAAGAGCTCATTGCAACTTTGGTATATAGTTGTGAATGGAACCAACATGTCTAAAAACGAATTTCAGGTGTAACGAAAATTAATATGTGATATAGTATGCATCAGACACCTATGCTGGAAAATGATAAATGCGCTGACCCCTGTGTCAATTATATCTTCTAAATAATCAATGAAGACAGCACATGTAATTTATGGGAATGTTGACTAAAAGCACAAATTTGAAATCACACAAAAGGAAACCCATATATAATCACTCGAGCAAATTCTTTCACTGAACTGTCAACTAAAGTATGCTTTGACACATAAAGAAGAAATGAATCTATATATTGCCAGATTGGTGAAAACCATAGGCTACAAAAAATGATTAAAGAATAAACATTTTCTACCTAGCCACTATAAGACTTACAAAAGTTCAATGAGGTAAAATGGTTTTACTAACCTCCTTGTTTCTGTGCCTCAGCAATCACATGCAAAGCAAGAGTTGTTTTTCCAGATGCTTCTGGACCATATATCTCAACTACTCGTCCCTAAAGAAATTAATGACATTATACAAATATATAGTAATATAGACCAGTAAAGTAAATAACAACTATCGTGGATTTCTCTATATACGACAAAGACATGCATTCGTGTAATCCAACCTAAAAAGGTTATAATAATAAACTAATTACATGTGCAGCTGAGAAACAATAATAAAAAGGAGAAAATGTCATTAGCTAGCAGAATCCTAATCTACCAAATAACAAATTTGTTTATTCATGTACTCCTTCGATGATGGAAACTATCATCCCTAAGCACTTCCACAATGTGAAAAGTCATTAGCAAAAAAAAAAAAAACTGTACCATTAGATGATATTTATCTCACACGAGATATGCAGTGTGAAGGAAACTCTAAGAATGACAAGTATGCAATCAGAAAACCAAATTCCAAAAACATCAACAACTACAACAATGGCAAAGGGTTCGATGAAAGAATCTCTGATACTTTAAATTACTATTCCAAACATTACAATGATATATTCTCCAAATCTTCCTCATACAAAGACGAACAAATTCTGCCGTCGAATAAAATATGTATGGAAAAATACATGTAGGAAATGGGAGCATGAAGACCAAAATATCTAATGCTTTGAAACACTGTAAGATACCTTTGGAAGTCCTCCTACTCCTAGTGCAATATCCAAAGCAAAAGATCCAGTAGATACCACAGGAACATGCCTTGAAGTGACTGACCTACCAAGCCACATGATGGATCCTTTTCCATGTGATGAGGTAATCTGGTCAAGTGCTAGCTTGAGCGCTAAATCTTTTTCTGATATATTCTCTTCACCAGAGTCACTTGTATCTGACTTTGATTTCCTTTTACCTTCGGACACACAGAAATGCTGGATATTAATTTGTAATGTTGCATTCAAAAGTAAAAACCAAGAAAGAATTAAGGAAAGCACCAAAGAGCTTCTCAGACATGATATTACAGAAACTCTTGGAAACAGATCACTCATGATACAAAATGAAAATAATGCATGCATAACTTTAAAAGAACAATGACTAAGACACTACGGCAATCATTCAAGCCCTTGGCAAGAGAGGAAATGATCCGATAATGGAAATTGGCGCCAAAGAGTTGAAATCAATCTTCTCCAAGATTGAGACATCTAAAATAAAAAATAAATAAATAAAATAAATCATATCTTTGTGAGCTCTTTCTATATGAAATTGCATGTACACAAGTAGATAATAATACAATACTAATCAAAAATGTGATTCAGCAAATGAAAATGCAACAATGTCACCTATCCAACTAGCATAGGATAATATTAACCAATATTGTTGAGAAAAAAACACTATGACAGATGAAATCAATGCCTAGGAACTGCTTCAATAGGCAGGTGACGTGGAGAATCTGATCACGTAATTGCCCACAGAATGCTTGTACATCAAAGCATTTTCCAAAATATAAATAGGTACCAATACTTGTGTGTTTAGTTTACACGAAGATGTCCCACTCAAAACGGACAGTAAGAAATACAAATCGAATCATTTTTCACTGAAGCGTTTCTATGAGATATAAATGATCTAAACACACTTTCAGAACATATATATACACTTCATTTTCCTTTTTTTTTGAATAAAGTGAGGAATAAACACGAAATTCTTGTATAGACCATCACTTTCAAGCAAGTAAAAGAGATCCCAATAAATGCAGTATATATATATATATATATATAGAAACCTTCTGCACCTTTGGTCGCAAAGTAGCATAATTGAGTGGTTGTTTTTGACATTCCCTGCCTAGATTCCTGAGGACATAAGAACGTTTTTAAACCACGTTAGAAAATTGAATTATTCAACAGTCATTCATATTAACAAAGTTAAGAAAAAAATTTAAACTTCAAGTGGTTTGTAAACCCCAATACAAAACCCAACCCTAACAACACACATCCCCCCGTAAAAACTAAAAATAAATAAAATGATATTCAAATTCCAGGAAAAAATCAGTTGGCGTTTCTTCAAACTCCCGTTTCACATGTGAAGTCCAAAAAAAATAAATAAATAAATAAATAATAAATAAAATAAAATAAATGGAACCCCACTACAAGTTTTTATCCAGCAACGCTTAATACCTAAACGTTTTTAAAATATTAACAAAAAAAGGAATAGTTTTGAATTTTTTTTTCATTTTCTTTACATTTAAAAATGAAGAGCAACTGACAGAAACAGAGAAACAAAACAAATAGCTGCAAGAAGAGAAAAACCTGTAACCGAGGAAACAAAGAGCGCCTGAGAGAAGCCGCATTCCGAAGAAACCTCGACATTTTTAAACCAAAAAAAATAAAAAATAAAACCACTGTCCCCCCAACTGTAACTATGGGCGTCTGAGAAAATAAAGATTTTCGATCTAGGATCAATTGATGTTAGGGATAATTTATATTGGAATCCATCGAACTGAAACTGAACTGTAAGTGTAAGTGGAGGGAAACTAAAGTAGGCTGCTCTCGTCGTTGTGTTTCAATTTGCTAGTTTTAAGTTTTGAATTCATTTTAGTGCTTTGAGCGACTGTTTTTTGAAATTATTGAAAATACGTTCTTTTTATCATTTTGAAAAACTATTTCTCAAATAGAATCATTTTTCATATTTTCAATTTTTTCAAGTTATGTACTGAAAACACCCAAAACGACAAAAATATCGTTTTGTTTTTTTTCACGGTTTTTTTTTTCAAAAAGGGAAAGAGAACGCATTTTCACCGTTTTAAAAAATTGAAAACTGAAAACGGCACGAAAACAGTAAAGAGAACGCAGGGTTTAAGCGTTTTTGCTTCATTTTTGAGCTTCTCTTTTTGCGGGAATTTGTGATGAATTATGGGTATAATTGAGAAATACAATAATAATAGACCCTGTTTGGTTCTTATTATTTTTTCATTAAAATGAAAAATATGGTCGTTATTCATCACATCAAGTCACCAAATTTGAATTTCTATCTTTTGTGTGGGTCCAATAACGACTATATTTTTCATTCTCATTCTTCCAAAAATAAGAAACAAACGGAGGCTAGAGTTTGTTTCAGATTTGACAGGATCCAGGGACAAAAAGATGAAGCGAAGACGGCCATGGTTCACCAAGTATTTTTGATCAAATTTGTTACAATTTGGCATAACATCTGCATTGATACAAAACATGATGAATATCGCCCAGTTATACATGCGAGTGAGGTCTGTGTGGTTGAATGCCCACTTTTTGAACACCTTTGTATGGTAGCTCGTTTTAACAAATGAAATGACGCTGGTTGATGGTAAAAAAAATATACATATATTTGGCACTTCTTGGTCAATTTTGAAATTTAAATAGATTAACGACGTAATATTATTAGAATTTGTTATTGGTGATGCATAGAAATTTCTTAGTTCGTTTCTCATTCCTCACTCCTCAGTCCTTTATTTAGGTCATTAGATTCGAGCTTGGCATCTTAGTCATGCCAAGTTATGTATTCGACTTAGGTAAGTATGTATCACCTTGAAGTGAATTTGATGGCAATGAATTATCATGATACATAGGGCTTAGCCTTAGGTCATCATAACTTCCTCTAGATTGGTAGGATTAGACTGTGTTTTTTTTATCATGTCATGATGATGTTTTCATATAACGTTTCATATAATCTAACTTCAACCTTTATCAAAGGGCATTAAGTTGACTTTTTGAACTATTATTTATGATTTCTCGACAAAAATGTTCTTTTGATCAAATCAAGATGAACCCTCAACTAATTCGACGTGGATTTCAGATCAATAAAAATGCTAAAATAATACATTACAAGTTGCCATTATTTTTGGAATAATATTAAGTTAAAATCAATAATTAATTTTAACCATGTATTTCAAGAAATTCATAATTTTTCAACCATATGTTTCATCAAATTTTACTAAAATTTGATTTTAAATCCCACCAAACAAGAGTTAAATAAGAAAGTACAATCTTTATTGCAGTAGGTGCAGCTCGTGTGTTAATGGTGTCCACGGTGGTGGTAATGGTGGAGGTGGAGAAGAAAGATTAATTTTTAAAAATTTTATTTTTTTAATTGTTATAATTATGACTAGTTAGCAATTTGTTAAAATTTTGGGATCAATGATGAAATTAATATTTTATTTTTTATTTAAAGAGGAGGTAAATTTTTTAATAGTTGCATCAAAATGTTAAGTAAATTGAGACAACCAAATGCATTTTTCCTACTGAATTCATAAGAGGTAACAAGCATGAAACTTTTGCTTTGCTAGAAGAGCACAAGGAGTCGATGTAACAGCAAATCAGGTTACAAACATATGAAAAATGGCACATCAACATAGAAATAAACGAAAATATTTAATGCTAACACAAATTTACTTCTTTTGATCCAAGCTCGACCATAATTTTAGGGAAAAAAATCGATTTCATCACTTGTAATGGGATTGATAACATCATAAGCACGACAAACCCATTACGATGATGTTAAACGCGAGTCCATCTATCGAAACCTTACATGAAAACTGCGATGTTTAAACTCATATAAAATCATCGAAAAGAAGATAGCAAAGAGAGTATACTAGACTCAATACCAAAACACTAGTATACTTTGCTTCAACAGGCATCAGAATCCAACAAGCAGCATGAAAACCTAAGGACATCATTTCTATCACTGCCTGATCAATTCCTCTTGAGCAAGGAATCGAAAAAGAAAAAAACTCCCAAGGAATAAATATGAAATAGAAAAAAATAAATTACTAAAAGACTATTTTAATACATTATCCGAAACACATCGAAGCTGATCGTTCAACCCACTACATGTCACCGGACAACTGACGACTACCAATCCGAGGTTTTGGTGACCAAAAAGAGCTATTGTTTTTTATCAGTAAATGTAAATTATATTAATCAAAATCATATACAAATACGTTGGGCAATCCCGGGAAACCAAATCAAAGTCAAGTACTTATACAAGTATACCGGGCATTCCCAGGCAAAACAAAATACAATGAGGAAGAACAATCAAAACAATCTAGAGACCCATAGCTAAGGACTCAAATCGAATCTAAGCATTTAGATACAAAGAAAACGTAACTTTGTATACATGTGTTTTGATCCGTCGAACAATAGTATCAACATGTGGAGTAAGGCCATCAAAAATCTTTACGTTTAGCTTTGCTATGCCAAGATGTGTCCCGACTTTCCCTTTTTATCCATTTCATTGTATTGTGAAGAGTAGACATGGACCTCCGAAGACCTACCCATGCAGGGATTATATCCCAAACTGAATGGCTGAAAGGGTAAGTGAAAAACAGGTGCCCAATATATTCATCCATACTCTCAAAAAGGCTGCACCTTCGATCAATCTGTCCTTAGTTAGCAGTTTAGACTTAGCTGCTAACCACATAATAAAGACATGTTTCGGTGTCACATATGCATTCTAAACACAGTCGGCCATATTACCTTTGTTCCTCTCGACCTGAAGTAGTCATATGGCTGAGAAAATGCTGAATCTATCAACATTATTCCAGCTCATAGTTTATCAACAGCAGCTTGAATATTGGGTTCAGTATTGATAATGCAGTGTTAGGCAATTTTGTTGTTAAACGACCTCCCCGGACGATGATGTAACCTCGGTTGTTTAATATCAATCGGCCTCGACCTAATGATTGATTAGTACATCGACACAATTAACGAGACAACACAATCCACTTTGTTATGGACCGTTCGAAGTAACCTATTTTATAGTGTTGCTCACGGTT